AAATTCTCTGAGGATAGTGAGTAATCATGTGAGTTGAACGGACATAAGATTAGTTCTTAAACCTCAACAGTTTGCGAAATATTTTCCTTTCCGTTTCAGTCACGTGTCAGAGAGAATAAGCAGTAACACCTCACATAAATGGTGGACACACTAAACGGTCTATTGTTCCTTGATAATAATAAACCCTATACTTTACAAGTCTTTCGTCGGTAAATCTTCCGCGGTTACTGAAATCTTGGTACGAGTGGCCATCATCTTAGCATCCGGCGAGAAGTTTCACACTTTACCGCTGCAGTCCCATAAATAATTTGGATATATCAACAAAGTTGAAATGGTTAATTGGCCACCGTAACGATTACAAAAGCTGACGTTTCGAGCGTTAGCCCTTCGCCCCAAGGGCTAACGCTCGAAACGTCAGCTTTTGTAATCGTTACGGTGGCCAATTAACCATTTCAACTTTGTTGATATATCCAAATTATTTATGGGACTGCAGCGGTAAAGTGTGAAACTTCTCGCCGGATGCTAAGATGATGGCCACTCGTACCAAGATTTCAGTAACCGCGGAAGATTTACCGAGGAAAGACTTGTAAAGTATAGGGTTTATTATTATCAAGGAACAATAGACCGTTTAGTGTGTCCACCATTTATGTGAGGTGTTACTGCTTATTCTCTCTGACACGTGACTGAAACGGAAAGGAAAATATTTCGCAAACTGTTGAGGTTTAAGAACTAATCTTATGTCCGTTCAACTCACATGATTACTCACTATCCTCAGAGAATTTAGCTTAGTAAAGAAAAATTTTTCACAGTTGAAACGCGAGGCACCTGGCCTGCCTTGCCGACTCTAGTGCGAACAGCTGTTATGTTACACCCTTTTCCGTTTTTTTCACAGTTTGAAGATATCACGATGTTGCAAATTAGGAAATAGTCAAAACTTTCATTTTCCATTCAGAAAGCGGAAATTCGGCACGCTATCCACTCGAAACGACATATAATCAAATTTGCGAAAATTCTTTACACTTTGGGAAGCCTTCCTGTTTACTAGAGCAACAGACAGTTCGAAGAGGCTTATGGTATCAAAACTGAAAGAAAACCTTAATATTTGGCTTTTCCAGAATAGTTGTTTGAGCTCGTTTGCTCTTCCCGCTTATCTAGTCGTTCTTCAAGTGTTAAAATGCGATTGCAGGAAAGGGCAAGGCGTCAAGTCACAGTAGGCTACCAAATGCTCAGGAGAATCTATGAAGATAAGAAGCTATAAGATTCTTTGTCCTTGTTAAGGCACGTTCTTCGCGATGTTCCGCGGAATTAGCCGGTTCCTTTGAAGCTAGGTGAAACACAAATCCATTAACGCCAAAAATAAACAATATTCCCTGCTAAGATCCAAAATTTATGGGTCGAAACTGGTAAGAAAATCTGATAAGTGAAACGAAAGGGAAGTTGCCTTGTCCAAGGGTAACAGATGGACAAACAAAACTAGAAAGCGAAATAAAACTGGAAAACAGAGGGTTGGTATGACGTCATACGGTAACAAGAAAAGCGCGCGAAGACCTCAATAGGCAAAAACTTAGTTACGCAAACAGATTTCAGACTCCCCCTTTGGAAGTCAAACAAATTGCATGTAGATCTGTCATAGGGCTGCACGCAATGCAATTTCACGAAGTAACAGAGAATTAGTGGGCAGACACCTAGAGAATGGACTTTAATATCTTTACTTTTAATAGGAGCGTGTTTATCGTTTTACTTCTCATAATTAATTTTCATTTCTTGTACAACTGCCGCTTGACATCTGTTAGGAATGTAAATGTTATGGATGTTGACCTTCTGGTTGAGTAAAATGTCGGTTTGCTTTCATCACCAAACTTTTCTTTCCTGTCTTGTCTCGATTTTTTTTTTTTAATACGCTCTTTCCGATGTCCGAGACTTGTTGAAGATAACAGTTATACAATTTGTAACGACTCTCTAGTCGTATATCAAAACATCACAGTGAAAACTATGATATCATGTTTAGATTAGATAAACAAAAAGTTAAACTTCGATATTGGTTGGGGCACCCGCGGATTAAAAGCAAAAACCTCCATTTGGTAAACCAAAGTAAACAAAAGTGGAAGCATTTACATGCTAACAACAATTCAACCGTGACTAAGATTCTTTTGATTGACAGCAATAATAAAGCGAACGTACATCAGTCATTTGGTCAGCACACCGGACTGAAGTATCAGAGTAAGTGATTTACACGGATATTTAACGAAAGGTCTTGACTGGTGCCACTTCAGATTTATAAAGGTAACTGGCTCCTGTTTTCTCTTTCCTATTACTACATCATGCTTGATTTGGGGGGAATCACCAAAATCGACCCAAAGTTCAATTGTGTCGTTTTCGGCGTTTGGTGACGTAATGACTCTGAGTAAACTGGGAAAAAACCAAACCAACTTGTTTAGATGACACTTATCAACTATGGTTTCTTGTTTTACGAATTGTTGAGTTGAAGTATAGCTACCGCATCACATCTTAGGTTAACGATTGCACTTTAATTTTCCATCGCATTATTTTCGTTAATACTTAAACTGACATCTTAGTTAGAGAGTACCTCGCAAATGGGTGATGTTTCATTTTCATTTTTAACGAATTCGTTTTACAGTATGGATTGATATGTTATTTCTCCATTTTACTTCATAAGACATTGATGCATCCGGTGGACAGATACTGAGAATTTTCAAACAGATAAAACGTTCGTAGTTAAACGAGAGAAATTTCATGCTAGGGGTGTCTTATTTTGAGGACTGAACTTTCCTTTCGTGTCCACGATTTTTTTAAATTTATTTAAACTTGATTCCATATCTTTTCTTGAACGTATATGTGTATGGCCGTGATCTGTAGTGTGTGTTATTTTTTCTGGTAATCAAATTAAACGCGTATCTTTGCTTATTTAGACAAATTTGTGTCAACCATCGCAAACAGACTAATATGAGACAAACTGTCAGTGCAGTTAAATTTGTAACGTTACTCAAAAGCATGCTACTCAAAGTTGCAAATTTCATAATTGTCACATGTCAGTAGCGCATTGTTTGAAACGTAAATAATGTCTGATTGTGTGAAAGTAAAAAAGGCTTTATTCAAAAAAATATTAATTCAAAGGTATCTGAAAAAAAAAACAACAGCAAAACAAAAACAAAAACAACAACAAACTTTAAAATTATGAATTGATTAAACCGCAAAGCACCCTTTTTACGTCTAATCCAACCACATTTCCACTGGCTGTTGTGTAGACTGATCAAAGTTTCCCTTGAGTTTGTTTTTCCTTATTTAATTTCTCTCCCTTCCTTGTACGCGAAATCTAGCCATAGTAATGATATTTTGGTCCAAAGGTACTCAACTGGAAGGAAACTGAAATCAGACAAGTTTGTCAAAGGTGATATTTTGGAGGATGCTTTGATCACGTATCGGACTCAATCACGTTTAGTTATTTCCGTTTCGACATTGCTGTTTTAATTATGTATCGAATTCAATATAGCACGTTAACGGAAATGTCTGCATGCGTCATGCGTCGGGCAAGTAATGGCTATTTTAAATGCGTGAAGGGGTTACCACTTTACACTCAGGAAACTTTTCAAGCGTATCTCGTCCCCGTTTTCAAGTTTGTGCAAGATTATTACACGGCTTATTAACGAAGAAATGTTTAAACCCTCAGGACTCATTAATTGATCATGCTCTTGTTATGAAGATTAATATGTAGCATATGGGGAGATCAGTCGATTATAGTACTTTAGATATTAGACTTTTGTCGTTTCTAATCAGAGTTACGGGCGGCGAGTGCCGACGTCATAAGTGGTACACTGATTTTCGAAGATTAGTCACGTGGCTTTGTACAGTTCGAGTCCTTGTTGAAGATTGACGCCAATATGTCCAAACGAAGTACTTGTGTTCAAGTGATTAGTTGACTTCGGCTTTCTAGAAATGTCATGCAAGGACAAGCATTCGCAGACGGCGGGAAAATTACTCACATAGAACCACCTGTCAATGAGGGCGGATGCAACGCAAGCCCAGTTTCACTAAAGATTGTGCGTCAATTCAGCCCCCTTCTTAATATTTCCCTGGGGGGTATCTGTTCGAAGTCTACTTGGCGCGCATGCAAAGCCAAAATACATTCAGATTCACCGGAACGTCGAAAAATATCATCGACAAAATATAACATACCATCAGTTATGTTCTTAATTAGTGTTGATTGGTCAGGAAAAATGCTCCTTGCGTAGTATCAATTGAGGTATCTATAAATATATGAGTACATTGCTTTCAAGTGCTCGGCATGACAGCAGAGGTCAAGTTTTGATAAGAAAGATGCCGAGCCTCCGAATGCTTTCTCCTGCATGCACGCAAACTAAATATGCACTGGAAACATCCGAAATCACAGAGAAAGGACAGAGAGCTGTTAAAATATCATAGACGGTGACTAGTAGTCTATCATATTGTGTCAAGTGGAACGAAGGTGGGACTAAAATGTTTTCTTGATAATGTGTTCAGTCGAATCACTGAAGTGAAAAATGAGCGAGCAGTCTAAAGGGCAACATAATTGAGACTTGTTTTTTCGGTAAACGTGACTGTAGAGGGAAACGAAAGTATTTTTTTTTACAGCGGGCTAACAAAACGATTTCTGATCTCTTGCGATAGTATTGTCGCGTTGTTTATCCTGTCGGAAGCTTTCACCAACCAAACATTTTTATTATTTCAACTTATCGAATGTTCCATTGTAATTTTATTTGTTTGCGGTCAGCAAATGTGAGATTTAAGTATGTTTAAATTGTTACAAGCTTTAAAAAGTAAGTTCACCAACTTTCGCGCAGGGCAAATGTTCTTGAGCTGTTCTGCCTGCATTTCCTGTGGGTTTATCTCCTTCCTTTCTCAGTGTGGCTGGTTTCTGGTGAAGAAGGTACACGAAAATAGTTCTTTGACCGATGACAGATTACTCAAATCACGTTTAACTTTGTTTCATTGCAAAATACTTAATAGTTTACATTCCAGGCTAAATGAGGTCACATACTAAGAAAAAGAGCTACATGATTTTAATCGACTTTGACCTAGTCGTCACGAATTCATTTAAGTCCAAAATAAGGGCTCAGACTACGATAAGAGGCATCCGAGGAAGGTAGTTTTCTTTATTTGTCAAGATTTTTTTAGTTATAAGTGCTTTCAAGAGAGGCTTTTCTTCTAAATTGATGCAGCGTGAATCAACAAAAGCCTTTTACGTGTAAAAGACCAAAACAATATCACATTTGTAAGCGAAATTTATGGTAAAAATACTGAACAAACTGTAAATAGAAAATTCTATTTAGCACGTTTGTAGTCTTCGAAGCACTTTCATTTGATCAGCATCTGAGTGGCGAATGTCAAATTTTTACGAGTTGCAAATCTCATCGCGACGCTCTGAATATTGAACCTGATTTCTTTTCTTGTGTAATATTGTTTTCCGTATTTCGCAAGACCTAAGGGACTGATTAGTGAATAGTTCGAGCCATTGCAAACAAGCATTCATTGTACAAGACAGTTTGTTAACAGAATGAACAGGAAAGTTCCTATTAATCGCGGTTTTTTTGCCCATTACTCAGCGATTATTGAAGAGTAAATAAAAACAAGAGCTTATCATCTTGCCCCACTAGTCCGTGGGTGGCCTCAAGTCTGAAATTTTAGGCAACATAAGCATTTTTGAATAACAAACTTCTAACGCTTCTCACAATACGCGATAACGATCAAAAGGTTGACTCTTTAGTTATTGCGCAATAGTTGTTGATAAATTTTCAACCCTCCAATTCTGGATGCTATCATGCATCTTGCGTCTTGCAAAATTTCCTTTATTTGCACAGTTGCTCGTGAATATCGCTTAAATGACCTATTTGACCCTCCGTCTTTTTCTTATGAATCACCAGGAGTAAATCGTCCTTGGCAAAGTTGAACTGTCGACCCTGTCAATCAATCAAACCCCTTTCGCGGGAAAAAGTCCTTGGGTGGTAGTTCCGGTGATACTCGAATACTAAGGCAGCGAAATCTCACAAGTAAATATTGTTAGAGAGTTGATAATTGCATCGCTAAATTGCCCAGGTCCTTGTAATGTAATGCAGTAAGGGTTATGCTTTAAATCCCTTTTTCACCTATTGTTAATTATTGGCTAAATCTTCTTGTAATTAATGTATCGCCCCAATGCATTGCAAAGTTCAAACCCCATGAGAGACTGATCGAATTAGTGAATTTGGAATGAGAAACATTCTGTTTAAACCAAATAGCAAATAACATCAACATGAAAATGCTACCCCCCAAAAATATAATGCATGAAGACCAAGGCATTAGGTTAATTTAAGGTGATCAGGGAATGGTTATCGTTAAGTGTTATCGTTGTCGTTTCCGGCTGATTGATGTCGAAAAATAGCCCATTCTTTTGAAATAATATTTTAATCCTCCAACTCTAAAACTTAGAAAAAAAACTTCCAGTCTCGACAGGTGTGCTTTAGGTTCTTATTCATGCACTGGTTTATTTTAGAGGAAACTTAAATTAAACAGGCTTAAGGGTTGCATGCGATTGCATCACGTTTTAGCTATTCTCCGATGAATTTTTATGGAAACCAAAGTGGCTTTATCAGAAAGCATCAGCAAATGTTAGTAAATATCTTTCTGACTTAACTCGACCATAGTTGTGAAACGAAGCGAGGAGCAGTCTTCTTGGTCCTGAAAGTGCTATGCTTTTGTTTATAGGACACAGGCTCCAGGGAATTTTTGAAAGCCGTTAAAAACATAAACAAGACATATTTCTGGACCCCCGAACATGTAATATTAAGATTGGGTGCACTTGCCAAACCTGTTATTTTGATACCAGTAAATCAGGCTCGGTAATGCACAAAGCGGAACAAATAGTTCTTAAAAGAGTGATTTTGAAAGAGAATTTTACGCATGTAAAACTTTCACGACGAAGAATATAGTCACGTGGAGCGCATGACGTTGTTATGGCAACGTTAATTAGTCTCACTTTCTGATTGGTTCTGGTTGTTGTGAATATATTCTCAAAAGTAGGCAGGAGAATTGAAATTTGCTTTCCGCGTACGCCCCGTTCTTTTCTACAGCCGCAGAAATTCGGGCTAGTTGCCGTTGGAATACCTCGAGAGGAATCCTCCAGGCACTTGAACTGCACAACTGCAGTCCCCTAGAGTTTCATGAGGTAAAGTGGTCCAACAAGCTTTCGATTGAGTGATCGTAATTTGGAGCCGTGAGTCTTCTGTGCCAAGTTCATTCATTCATTAGACAATCTTTAAAGTAGATTTAAATGGCTCCCTCTTTAGAAAAAAATAGAAATCGGCTGTCTTAAGCTCATACTTTTAATGAACTGAGACTCCAATTTGGTTACATTGCGCCGTCAGTGCACTTTTGGAGAAGATATTATTTATTCAGTCGTTAATCATTTGTTGAAGTGGTCGTAGTGATTCGAATGGCAGCTCATTTCCGTTTCGATCCTCCCGTTGTAGAATGGCTGTACAAGACGAGTCCTTGTGCAAATCATTTGCACTGGAAAACGACCCGGATGCGTCGTACTTTCTGATTAATTCAGAAAAAGATGAACATGGAAATGAAGGCTACAGCTCTCCTGTCCCATCTCATGACATTTGGAAAAAGTTTGAACTACTACCGACACCACCTCGTTCTCCTTCTCGATCACCTTCACATACGCCAGTCAGCTTTCATTCATACGAAGATGAATACTGTTCGGTTGCCGACACCTTACAGATCGTGTCAGATATTTTAGACGAGGACAGTTGTTCACCTGCACCCCTGGCGACTGTTGAAGTTTCTCTGAGTAGTCTGAAGTCCAAACTCATTCAAGACTGCATGTGGAACGGCTCCAACTACGAGAGTGCGTTAGATTTAAAAGTGCTGCCCGCTTCTTTGAATGCGGACGACCTTCCTTACGAGACTCCGTGTGCTACTCCTCCGCCAGTGGAATATGTAAGTTCTGATTGCGTTGATCCTTCAACGGTATTCCCCTATCCTATAAACGAATCACATCAGAACTTATGCGGATCACACAATTCAAGCGATTCAGGTTAGTTATTTTACACTATGTGCTTTCAATTTCCTGTTCTTGTAATTGGTAATCAAAATTAACGATGTGTTGTAAAGTAGAGTAGATCTAGCAGATTCGAAATCCAAATGTCTTAGCATTCCGCTGATCGAAGCTAATTTTTTAAAAATTTTTTTGCGACAACAGAAGAGGAAATAGACGTAGTAACCATCGAGAAACCAAAGCGAAAGCGGCTTCCACAAGTCACAGATGAACCGCCCGCAAAACGTCTTAAACCTGTTGCAGTGAAACCTAAAGGAGTAGCTCCTGCTTCGAGCCCTTCCAAAGAGAACAAAAAAGATTTTAAACGGCAAAACAGTTCAACCTCGGACGAAGAAGGCGATCTCAGTAAGAGAGCAACTCACAATGTTCTCGAGCGGAAGCGAAGGAATGATCTCAAGACAAGCTTTCACATTCTCCGGGAAGAGGTTCCTGACATTAAGGACAATGAAAGAGCTCCAAAAGTTACGATATTGAGGAAAGCAAAAGACTATGTCGATAAACTGAAAAAGGACGAAACGCGATTGCTGGCAGAACTTTCGAAAGAACGACGGAAAAACGAAGAACTTTTGGACCGGTTCTATGCGCTTGGGCAGAAGCGAAAATAACTTTTTGTTTACTCATCGCTATTTTCATTCGTCTTTTACCAAATATCATTACATAGATAACGATTGTATATAATTCATAGATAATATTATGAAAGGAAACTGTTTTTGCAAGTATACTCGCTGTCTAGAAATTTCAGTAAGCTTCAGATCGCTTTTTATACTTAAAGTTTTTCTGTCGTGTAGAAACAAGTCTTTCACTTGGGTGCCAAATATTTTCGTTGTCTCAATGCCGAATTTCGTATGACTGTCAAGCCCTCGAAGAAAGAGGAAATATTCCTCCCCCAAAGTAACAGTTTTCCTAGTGATCATAGCTTTGCGGTCGAAAAATTATATTTTTGATACGATATTTTTGAATGAATGGATATGTATTTGCATATATATTGCGTAAACGCGGGAAAAATCGGATGGATTTCCATAAATTAACGTCATGCATATGATCGCTTGGATTTCGTTTCAAGGTCCTTTGGGACTTAGTTTTGCTTGATCAGGGTTAAAAAAAGAATGTTAGCTATGTTTAGCTTGCAATGTTTTCAAACAAATTCTCGATACCCATTTTTACTGTGTAAAACACTGGTTAGCCGCTTTCGGCTTTGGTGAAATTTGGAGAGTAAAAAACTTTGTCGAAAGTTTCATGATTTAGTTAGCGTTTTCAAAAGGTATCTACAAGATTTCAGTAGTGTTTATAAATCGTAGAAAACCCTTTAGCAATGAACTTTTCTCACCAAGAGGACTTAATGTCATTCAAACGGTTGAGGTGTTATTTTATTACGTAGGTTTCTTTGGTTGTATTATTGTCAGACAGTGAGGTTGAGAGAGTTAAGATGTCGATCGTTCAAGGAAATAGTTCTGTAAACACTGCTTTGCTTTGCTAGCAAACAGTTATTAAAGATCAAATGTTCAGGATTGTCTTAAAGCCCGCTTTATAAACTTGCGTAAATACTGGGGACGCTATTAGCTTAATTGTTGGGGAAGCGTATGAATAATTGACCATTTTCTGATAAATATTCCTTTGTGTGGCGTGTAGCAGTTATACCGACTTCAGTTTGTAATTGGATTCTTTGTTCGAAAAGTAGATTACATTTCCTCCCCCACAGGAACCGCGTCTACTTAGGTTTATTTTATGACAATGCTGTAACAGAACACCGGTATCACAGCTGAGGCATTTTATATCTATAAATGCCGCATAAACATTCGTCAAGAGGGTGATTTTTATTTTGATCTTTAATACATATATTTGGACCAGTGAGTACGATTTTAGCATTTTGTCGACCAAATTTTGCAAAAGAGACTTGCAAAATGCTTTGTTATTTGTTTACCTCATTTATATTTCATAATATTTTTGTTTCTTTTCAAAACTTTTAGCCTTGTGTTGATCGTTCGATGCTATGAAGTTAACGTGAAGATATTTAGCTATAGGTGACAAGAATACAAAGTGGAGGTCAAATTTTTTGGTCGAGCGCATATGAGCAATCTTATCCTCTTTGTCCGATAGCGTGGGAAAATGATTATCTGACGAATCGAGGAAGTATACTTCGCATTCCAAGGTCCTTACATATTTCCGGTTTTTCCAAGAATACCGCTGCTCTGACGCATTTGTCTGTTTTTTAGTTCATATTATACGCGTGGGTAGCTTAATTCGGCGTGCAGTTATGGATGTCTGGACCTTTTACAGACATGATACTCCATAGTTTATACACCACTTGATTTTACTGTCTTGTGAATATGCATATCTGGTTGTTGTCTCGACTGTAGCAAATCTCTAGTATTTTCGGTCTGCAGTGTATCATTGGTGTTCGGGCTTAAGATATACTTGTGCTTTTGTGGGGTCTCGAAAGAAAGCGGAATCACTAAACTAAGATTACGGATCTCATTTCACGTGCCAAACAAAATGCGATTTGTCTCAGTGGTCTTTGGTGGCCTCATCGGACTGTTACCAATTTTACCTGCTATGAGAGAAAAGAGAACAGAGGGGAAAGTTTTTCTTCAGGAGGCGTTCAATTGTTTGTTTATAATCGGATGTTTGCGAACACTTGTGGGCATAAAATCATTAAAGTATCACTTTCCCAACGAGAAAAGGGAAAAATTAACGTAATTGAGACAAGATCATTATATGAAACGAAACAACGAAAAATCCGGATTGTGTCCTTAGATTGCGTGACAAAGTAACGCTCTTTTATTATACAAGCGCTTTTACATGTTTTGCTGTGTTGCACTTGATTGAAATTCGGACAAGGTCAGTGCAGGAGGTGTTTTCAGTGTTAAAATTCTCCCTTTTTTATATGTACAACAAGAAGAATTAACTCGAGCATTAATCGCGACTCGGTTTTTTTTTTTTAGATAGTTTTGGGTTGTTGCTCTCACTTCCTGTGTCTCCGGGAACATATGGGTGGGTGGCAATCACGAATGGAAGTTTGATTTATCAGCGGAAAGCGATACAAACAAATTTTCCAGGGGGTCTTTAGATTGCCATCTCGGCTACCGACAGCACCGTGCGCTGCAAGGCAGCTTTGTATTCTTTTCCAAACGCTCAGTGTCAAAAAAAAACCGCAACAATTACAGTGCATTGAAGAGGAAACCGCATCATCTATATTTCCTTTGATATCGAAAGGTTATCGAGTCGAAAATCCGTAGAATACCACAAACCAGACATACGATGCATCTGGCGTGCTGTTTCAAATAGCTCCATTATAGTTACTTGAACGCACGCAGTGTCACTCCCCTCCCCTTTTTTTTCCTTTAATCGTAAGTTGCGTGAGGGGTGGGGCATACCTAAAAGTGTTTCACACGTTTCTGACGAGCTTTTAAGGTTTGATAAACATATCAGGGGCTAAAAAAGCAATCATTATACTCATTCTCTAAACAACCGGAAAACGAAGTCACTACTAAACATAGGGAGACGAAAATTACCAACATTTTCCAAAAATCTAACGGAAACGTGCAAAGTCCAAACAACCAAACCCGCAACTCAGTGGGATACATAAGATGCCGTCCTGTTGTTTTGATTAAAAAAAACGCCGGCAAATTTTAAAGTTCACTTGCGCTACACCGTTTCTGTTGCCTCTTCAGAAAATCAGTCACAGGCAAATTTCGGGTGAAACCAGAAACTTTCTAGATAACATTGGTGTAAACATCTGTGGATGCTGATAATTTCAGACTGATGCAATCAGACTGTGAGTTTTTAATTTTTCGAAATGATAGGAAAGTAGAGGGATCTGTTCCTTGGTGACTATAACTGAAATTGAAAACACGTGATTCTTGCTTCTGATTACGCGTTGAAAACATAGATAATGTTCCATAATCAACTCGTCAAAAGATGTGTAAAATTTGCTAGGTTTGTGAAGATTAATCGTTGCATTATATCTGAAATATTTCCCAGCCGAAAAGCTTGAAGGTTTTGTTTCCAGTAACTTTATGGTTGGCGAGGTAGAATGGTTGGCGTTTTTATGTCACAATACTGGCGCCAAGGGAGGTATGAGTGACAACCTTTTTCCCAAGCCAAGCAAACAACAGGGGGGTGGGAATAAACTGGTGGGACGCTAGAGCAGATGCATACAATTATTTACTACTCCTGCACGAGATGAAAGTAGAATCAAAGAGGGTATTCAGCTGGGTGCTATTTGTCGGAAAATATTAACGAAATACGTCACTTAAATAAACAGTTTCTTCGCCGGTTCCGAGTAATACCCCTTTTCTTTCACACAAAACCACTGGCTTATAATTTGCCCGCATTTGCTGAGTAGATTCGTAGGCATCCATAAGGTTATCATTTTCATTGGGACTCGAAATGGCGAACCTGTGATTAGAGAAGGCGCAGATGTAGACTTGACGTAATCTCGTTGTAATGCCGAAACCCCTTATGCATGTCAGTCACAGTTCAAACAACCACCCACTTTGTCGAAAAAGACTTGGTTCAAAAGAGAACAGTATATTACTTTTCCTAGGGAAGTTATATTAGATGGCGTCACCAGGCACTCGTCATAGGAGCTGGTTAGAGGTGGGGGTTGGGGGGCAGCAGAAGATACATGGCGTGTACAGATAGGACAATCCCAGGAACGATCTTAAAGACACACGTAGGTACATGAGTATCTCGAGTTCTTAGTTATGGATTTACTCTGAAAAAATGCGCTATTTCTGTAGCTGACGCGTTCGCTTGAATCACGGTCGTACGTGTATAAAACCACAGGCGGTAGGCGAAGGGATCTGGGATTTGTGGCTTCCCAAGAAGAAAAAATTAACACTTCAGACAGTGACTAACAGACAGAAAATTCCAAGACAGTAAATTCCAAGATCTTTTTCGCAGTTCTCCCTTCTTGGTGATACTCATTTTCTTGTGAACTGCTTGAAAGAATTTGAAGTCAAAGGTCAGGGTCCATTCTCATCACCAGTCTCCCAGCAGGATTAAGTATAGATATTACACTTCAATAGCTTGTGTGCATAAAGAATGCTAGATTAAAGTTCAGATGCACCCTGCGACCACGGACACCTTTGAAACTATTTAAGAGACCTAAACGATCCGTACAACCTCCCCCCTGCCCTTACTCCCATACAGCAGGTCCAAATCAGGACTAAATTGTCCCTACCCGGAAGAGTGCCTCGGTGCCTTTGCAGTATTACTCCAAAATCCAAAAATCGGTTTAACATAGGTACCACTTTCCTGGTAGGGTGCCTTTTTAAGGTGGCTCGTACCAGTTTTCATCTTTTTGATGGTTTGTGACTTTGAAAGAATACAACAGAAAGACTGACCAAGGCCAGTTAAAAACACTTATACGGGGTTGAATTACATAGTCATTGGTTATCCAAAAAGAAGTGTCATTTCGTCACTAGCAGTTTCCATGGCAACGCTTTCATAGGCTTATTCAGACGTATTTTTTAGCTTGTGGCTTAAATCATTCGAAAACTAACCCGGTGACCCCCTGATTTTTTTCAGTGATTGCTTTTGGCACTTGAAAAGGAAAATGCACAAAGATTTTTAAAAAATTCTACGGAGCGGAATTTCAGAAAATCTACAAAAAGGGCAATTTTCACACATCGCAAATTTCCTTCCGTAGAATTTTCTAGTTTTTTTTTCTGATGATTCCTTTCGACGTTATTATCATATTGGAACAATAAAAAGAAGGGGTCACCGGACTTGTTTTCATGCAATAGCTTTCGTGAGTTTAGCAATTTCCACGCGCGTTCTCGCGCATTTAAAAATCTGGATTCTATAAGATCGACATTTGCTCATGATCTGTTTTAGCTACCGCTGACAATTGCGTGTGCTCGCGCGAGCACCTACGATCTGATGTTTACAGACGTTTACTGCTAAGAAAATCATTAAACAGCCGTCAAAGACAGCCTCCCGAGCTCATCTTAAAAATCCTACACATGACTTCTGGCTATATCATATTATTTTCCTTGAAGTTTCAAAGTCTTCTTCCACTTCAGGTAGATTATCCTTCACTTGAGTTCTTCTTTTTTCGCCGTCGCAAGATTTCATATCGGTTGAATATTTCTTTTAAATGTGAAGTGAAGCAACCTTTACTTCTCCGAAAATCGTCTTCGTTATCTTAGTTTCTATCTCCTGCATTCACAGTGGCCGCTCAACACATCAAATACAAGCTCTTAGGTAAACTTCTCACAAAAGTAGAAAAAATTCCACGCGCCGCCATCTTTGTTTTGAATTTTCATCTTTTGATCTCGCGCTTCTTTCGCACGTTTCTCTCGCGCGCGTCACGCAAGAGTGACCTGTTCCCCGCGCGAGGAAACTGGTACGAGCCACCTTAAGTCCCCCCCTCAAAAGTGATTGAAAAAAATAAGCCCCCCCC